AAGAGATTTGGAGTCAGATATAGACTTTAATTTCTCTTGATTATGTTGTTAACTGAGAGATAGAGAAGGTAGAATCTATGCTAGCAAAAATTTATTGCTATTTTATTAATATAGAATTTTTTATAGATCAAGTAGTGCTAATCATAATATATAACCAGTAAGTTAAACCAAAGATTTTGCCAGGAGAGAAAAGAATTATCTTATGGATCAAAATTCCAAATTCAACATAAAACAAGAATGTACTCAAAATTGTCTGTCAGTGGACTTTCTCCTGCACACCACACTCCTGCAAAGTTTACATCACTCAAAAACTGTTTCTGTGGCTTTCATTTATAGTAATTGTTATGACTGTTTAATTTAATTGTTCGTTATCATTATGCAATTATTCTTAACTGGATGTTTCTCAGATCATAAGCAGCTCTGTGCAATCAGTTGTTCATAACTGGTATTTTTAAACTATTCTTTGTCCGCTGAAAAGAATAAGTTAGCTCTAAGACAGTGGATGAAAGGTTTCCAGAAGAATATCAAAGTTACTTCTCTTCATGAATGTTGGCTTTTATTATTTGCTCAAATAGAGAATTTAAAAGTTGAGACCAAATTCTGGGTCATATATACTTAAATTGAAACTTGATAACTTTTTCCTGTTCTGTTTGCAAATGAAGCCAGTGCTTTTTCCCCAGTTCATTGAATACTAATACTTTTTCTGTGATAAATGGAAATAGAAAAGGATTTACACATTCTGAGCTAATCTAAAACTTTAAATAGTAAATCTTCTTTCAGTCTTCAAAAGCTGAATAGAGGAGATTCACATGTTCTTAGATTTGCTCCGAACCCTTCAACCTTTCCCTTATATTAAACAGCAATCAGATAAAAAAAGAATAACCAATTAAAAAAGCTGTATATAGCTTCAATTTTAGAATGGAGATCTGCAATTACCTAGAATTTTTTTCCTCTTCTAAATGTCAAAATTGGCACTGTACCAAGATGGAAACTTACCCAGAGCAAAGAAATGGGAATTTTTGCAACTCCATTTTTATTTTGCATCTTATAACAAATGTTTTTGCAAGCACACAGAAGCAGGTTTCTGCCTCTTGGGGTGAAATTTAAGTAGCATACAAATTCAATTCTCTAGTGAGGATTATCTGCCATACATACCCTTTATATGAACAGCTGTACACTTATATAAGTCCTACTTTGTTTCAAAGCTAATATCAGAGTATGAAAATCTAAATGGATCAAAAGTTGATTATATTTATTGTAATTTTCTTCCAAATGTCCTCTTGGCTGAAAACTTCTGGAACCATCATATGTTGCATTTATAATACAGTTAGCTGAACAGGTCAGTGTTTTTACCGTGCTGTTATCTGAGCCCACAGATGTGCTACTGTGATAGAAATAAAGTAAGGCTGTGTTGCAAGAGCATGACAATGAGAAATAATGAAATTGATACTAATCCATATGTTTGAGGTTTTTTAATTGGAGAAAAGTGTGGATTATTCTCAAGGTCGAGAAACCAGTCATGCTAACTTCCATGTAAACAGATGTGTCATAAATAGACTTACATAATGCATCTACCTCTATGAGGTATCTACCCTTATATATTATTAGAAGTTTGCAAGTTTCTGTGACGTGAGAACTGTTATACTTACTGTTTAAACAAAGAAGTTGTACCTCTGCAAAAACTAAAATTGTCATTAAGCAGAGTTGGAACACTGTTTATAATAACATATTATGCAATTGCTTTTGTGGGAAGAAAAATATTCAACTAGATTTTTTGTCTTCTCTGCTTCTGCAGTGAAAAAGATTCTCAAGCACAATACAGATTCTCAAATACTTTCTAGCATAAAGGACAAGCATTTCATCATACTATCAAAATATATTCAATAGCACATAATAATCACCCCATGAAAACCTCAGCAACTGCAGTAGGCAAACTCATCACATGTCTGTATAAGCATGTGGTGACTGGTTTATTACTGTGAGGTTGTTTTATTGCTTTGCACTTTCTGTCTTGTAATAAATTTTCTAAAGCAAAAATGATTTCCAAATCTACAAAAGCAGAAAGTTTTATTTGATGTGAGATTTGATATGACAGCCATTTGAGAGATCATCAAGGATGTTTCCGCAATGATAAGGGAACATAAACTTGTCAGCAATGCAATGTGTAAGATTTTTCCCATGAATAATTATTTTGAAAGAGAATGAGACCACTGTATTTTTTACTTGGTTAT